GAGAGAGAGAGAGAGAGAGAGAGAGAGAGAGAATGTTTTACGGAGCGGGTTGTTATCTTTTTCTGCCCGTGAGACAGGTATTTTTACTAAGTCCTGTCTTGTTGTGTGTATGTGTGGGTGCATCAAACCTTTGTAACACCCACTGTCAGTGTAAATGACCAAGACAAACTTCTATCTGCGAGGCGAATAAAGATTGTCATTGTCATTACTAAAACCATCATCATCATCATCATCATCGTTGTAATAAGCACGATAACATTTTAAAAAACGAAACAAAACAAAAATGGCCAAGACTTGAACATTTTAATATATGACACTACAAAAATAATTCAAAGTTCAACGTATCGCCCTGTGGGCTTCGTCAGTAACGTGACAATCATCATCATCATCATCATCATCATCATCATCATCATCATCATCATCATCATCATTATCATCATCATCATCATCATCATCATCATCATCATCATCATCATCATTACCATCGTCCCCACTCCCACCAAAACACCAGCTGCAGCTGTTTGCTGCTGAAGCTACTAAGGCTGTATAACTAGCAACATCAACAAAAGTCGTCTTCATCACTATCTTCACTTTATCTTTAACAACCTAGTTTATTCAAACCCCACTTCTAATTTATTAACTGAATATTCATAAAGCATGATATAGCATGATAAAGCATTATATGGCGTCGACACTCTAGTGATTAGGCTACCGGACTCGTAGTCATGATGTTGCAGGTTTGGGGGCCCGAGCCTCCGCCCGACATTGTGTCCTTTCGGAAAGACACTTTACACGAATTTCCCTCACTTCATCCAGGTGAGGATGGGCACCCAGCCATAGACAGCGAAAGGTCCTGTCAGTATGGTTGTGATTTATCGCCTATAAAAAAAAGTGACAGCTAACACTGTATGCTTCCCAGGAAGTTGAGATTGTTTCAGAATGTAATCAGGTCTGCTGTGGTAATAATATAGATTGTAAAACGCATTGAGCAGGCTGTTGAGCGGGAATTTGTGGTATACAAAGATAAAATATAAGTATGAAATATAAATTACATTTTATTGATCTCATGAGGCAATTTGGATTACAGTGACAAATATATCCATAAATACATGATGATAAATAAATACGTACATAAATACATACATTTTAATACATACACATCAATACATACGTTTTAGTACATACATAAATACTCAATATTACACCAATACAGACCCCAATTCCACAAACATGCCATTGCTGGTCGCCACTGTGCTGCGCCCTGTTTTGATCATTTGGGGTTGTTGGTGGGTTTTTTTGTGCTAAGGTTGCATGTCTTGCTCACATACACACCCCAGTGACCACCCATCTACACCCCGTGTCACCTACTCTTGCCTAACAAATACAAATGAAGACTACAGGGGGGAAACGACTGTAGTCACAAACCGAAAATCGGGAAGGTGCCAATTTAGAACGCTTGTTGACTCATAACTGTATTTCAGTTCAACTGTTGGTTTATTATTGTTGTTAGATTTCCCATTCAACCACACTTAACAATAAATCACCAGTCAAAAAAATATGAAGTTATGAGTCCACAAGGTTTTAAAATTGGCCCGCTCACAATTGTCAGTTTGTGACTATAGTCGTTTTCCCCTGTGCACTTCAAATGTTATTACATATATAGTTGTATCTGTGACGTGACTGTGTCTGTCCACACAGCGAGGACTGCTTGTACTTAAACGTCTGGATCCCCGCCATCTCAACACCCAAGCCTATCCTAGTCTGGATCTTTGGAGGTGGTTTCTGGTCTGGATCTTCAACCCTGGACGTCTACGAAGCCTCCAAACTTGCCATCATGAATGACGTCATTGTTGTGTCCATAAACTACCGGTAGGTAAAATTAATTGTTCTCCATTATGGTAGTCCAAGTTAATTGTTCTCCATTATTGTGATTGTTTGATCATTTGCTGTTAGCTTGTTTGGGTTATAAATTTGCTAGTACCCATAATAATATTATGTCAAAATGAGTTATTAACTTAACAAAAGAAAAGTTGCTTTTTTTTTCAAGCTTTCAATACGCTTTCGACATAAAAATTCCCGATGGAATTGTTCTGATTTCCCACAGAGGCATCAGCAGTTTGTTCTAAAACTATGAAACGGTTTTATTTTGGTTTTGGTGAATGTTTTGCCGCGCTCGCAAATGCATAAGGTCATACGAACGCGGGGGACACATTAAATATTTTCAGTTGGTATGAATTTTTGAATAGAGAGCAGGAAAGAAATTGGAAGGAGGTGAAGAAAATTTTCCGTCACTGTCAAGATTCGAACCTGGGACCTATTGAATGAGAGGCGAACGCCGAAACCTATCGACAACGAGAGCCCCCGAAACGGATTTATTGAAAAGCTGTTGCTTATATATCATTTCAAATAACTGAAATACATGGATGAATTTTCGAAGACTGTTTTGTCTTGTGATGATTGACGCTCTTTTCTGTAATTCTCCAGAGTCGGCACCCTTGGTTTCCTGTACACAGGTCATGCAGATGCCCCGGGGAACGCAGGACTCTTGGACCAGTCGCTCGCTCTTCAGGTAAGGGCTTTGAGTTCATCGTGTTAGTGAAGTTGTAATTTTGTTGTATTTGACCAAGACGCCCGTTTACTTTTTGGGTTTCTTTTTTTTTTCTTTTTTTTTTTTTTTACTGTTTTGCTTCATTCTGTATTGGGATCTGTTTTTTGATATTTTTCAAGGGCTAGGGGTTTTCATTTGTTAATACGCTCCTTTGTTTGTTCTCGTTTTTTTTTTTTTTCATTTATAATTTGCTCGTTGTTTTAAAAAAGTGGTAGGTGTCTTTTTTTTTGGGGGGGGGGGGGGGGGTGTTAAAGGCGACCCCCGTCCCTCTATTTTGTTTTCCCAAAGGAATCGGGAAGAAGGATGTAAATTCCGTCTAAGTCGCCTAGTATCGCAGCTTATAACACCAGTCTGTCCAAAAGTATAAAATACCTATGGGTAAAAAAGGGGGCAGAAACTGCTACTGTGACTTCATTCACATTGTGGTTATACAATGGAATCTACCAACACGATGGTTAAAATCTTAGCGAGATCCGAAAGATGATTTATCTTGTTATTCCTGGAATAGTAATTATTCTCATCCTTGTGAGGACCCCGTGTGCTCCACTTTCGATAAGACCTGCTTTATGTTAACTGGGGAATTAAACTTCATCTGTAACCATATGGTGAAGTTTGGCGGGTTTTTTTAACACCGCACTTTTATTAAGCGGCCAAGACATCATTCTAGTACCCAGTGCACATTGCAGATAAATTTCGTCAAATCTCCATTTCATACGTTTGAGGACAGCCAAGTTCTCGTTCATGGAGGGTCAAAAGCTACCATTTTGGCACAGTTTAATAAGATCCTCCAAAATCCAACACGTTTGATTGCCTTGGTCACCCTTTGATGCGGCTGATACGTATAATAAAAACAGCCAGTCAGAAGGCTACACTGCACATAGTGAGGTCAGATATTTTGTTTGTTTGCGTGCAGAGCGCGACATGTTTTGATGAATTTCTGGTTTTTATATTTGATGAGGCAAAAAAGAGGTCAATTTGATATAGTGTGCACTGGCACCGTTATTAATCATTCCAAGCCGATTTCCGATCTGATCGATAAGCATTCGCTATAGCACTCTCCCCCTGATTCGTTATATCAAAGAGTACGTGTGGGATCAAATCAAGTCCTTCTGATTACCATGTGAAATTGTTCCCCACTTCCCCAAGCTACGAGTCGTAACACATCCGAAATAAGCTTGAGAAAAAGAGAATGAAATGTGCGATATTTCATCACCAAAGGGGGAAGTTTTGTTGTGCTTGTAATGCAAACTTGTAATACACACTATATATTTATTGCGAGTGTTTGTGTAAGAGAGAGAGGGGGGAAACGGTCAAGCAGAAAGACAGACAGTGAGAGAGAGAGTGCATGGGGATGGAACAACTAGTAGTGTTTGTTTTGTTTTAGTAGAGGTTTTTACGGCGCTCACAACTGCATAAGGTCATATGAGCGCCAAGGGGTGGATGTCAATAGAGAAGTCCTTACAGGGAATCAGAATTACTCTGCTCACCTCTCTAGCTTTAACAGCACAAAGTCTGCTTCGACTGTCAAGGCACCCCAGAAATAGCGGGTCACAAGAGTGTGACAAATATACAAAAGAAGTAGAGTGAAAATGACGATAGTAAGGATCAGGAAAGAAAAAACAGCAGTTCCTTGTTGCAGTTCAGGCACGGTTATAAGCAAGACATTGATGAATCAACCCATTTAAAATTACAATTCTACTGTGCATGAGAACTCGAGATGTTAATGCCCCCCTCCCCCATAACCCTTGAGAATGGCCTAAAGACAGAACAACTAGTAGTGTAAAGCGTGATTGTTGCCGAGGTTGATAAATAAATATCATATTCTCAGTCCATATTTGATTATTTATTCTATTTGGATAGGCCTACTATGCAAAGTCATTGGAAAAAGTAATTCCTCTTTCGGTTGTTTAAAATGAGAAATTGGGAGGGAGTTAAAAGATTAAAGAACCGTTGAGGGAAAACCTTATTTCCTGAGACGCCCTCAGTTTATATCTACTACCTTCTAAAGAGACGTCTAGATTTTTAGTCTGAACCCAGTGCACTGCTACGTTTTTCTACTTGTACGTGTAAAGTGCTAAAAGCCTATTTCAATCAGTGCTGACAGCTGTATGAATTATTATTATAATTATTATTATTA